TTAGAACAATCTTTCCCAACTTTGTGAACTTTCTAAATTTAACAAAAATGTTTCCCTTTGTACACTTGCCAAAATTAGCCAAAGTTTGGCATAGTTTGCCAAATTTAACAAATATTTATTCCCGCTTTGTACACTTTGCCAATTTAGCAAACATTGTCCCAGCTTTGTAACCTTACTAAATATACGACAAATCCTTCCTAGGCTTGAAATCCTGCCAAAATTAGCCAAAACAAGGAATAGCTTGCAAATTAAACAAAAATTCATTCCAGCTTTGTAAAACCTTGTAAATTTAGAAAAAATCTAAAAAAATTAGGTAAAATATGATATGGTTTGCCAAATTTAGCAAAAAATTATTCCAGCTTTGTAAACTTTGAAAATTTAGCAAAAAATCCGTCCAAACTTTGTAAACTTTCTAAATTTAACAAAAATCTTTCCCAGCTTTGTAAACTTATTAAAATTAGCAAAAATATGTTATAGCTAGCCAAATTTAACAAAAATCACTCCCAGCTTTGTAAAACTTGGAAAATTTAACAAAAATCACTCCCAGCTTTGTAAACTTGGGAAATTTAACAAAAAGCAGGTCCCATTTTTGTAAACCTTCTAACTTTAATAAAAATCCATTGCAACAGCTTTGTAAACTTTGCAAATTTGATTATCATTTTCGGCTTCGTAATCTTGCTAACTTAACAAAAATTTGTTCCGAGTTTGTAAACTGCCTAATTTAACAATCTTTATCCAAGCTTTGTCAACTTGCGAAACTGAACATAAATCTGTAATCTGTCCAAGCTTTGCGAACTTGCTAAATTTAGTAAAAATTAATCATAGCTTCGTAAAGTTTCTAAACTTAACCAAAATTATTTGGTACTTTGTAAACTTGCTAAATTTAACCAAAATTTGTAAACTTGAATCTAACAATCATTTATCCAAGCTTTCTAAACTTTGCAAATTTAACAATCGTTTATCTAAGCTTTGTCAACTTGTTAAATTTAGTACAAATTCATGCTATTTTGGTGTCTCTTCTTTTTCAGATTTCCGTGAACCAGACTCCCTGCATCCCTCAAGGGTCAAATCAGGAGGGTATTTAACATTCGTCACAACACCATTTGAGCAATTCACTCAACGAACTCAGAAAAATCTCCCAAAACACATAAGAACCCATCCGTAACCCCTGAACAAATCTGGAGCGACTTGAAACAGCCAAATCCTAAAAACCGCAGAAAACTATTTTTTACCGAAATCCAAGATGGAGAAATTTGCCTATACTGAGAAATTATTCCTTCAATCGATCCAAGTCTACACAGTAATGTCGTCCTATATGAAATCCAAGAAAAATGATTTACCAAAAAGCAAATCAGACGAAGGTTCTCTTTGTGACGACGCAAATAAAATATCCCAATCCGAATATGAAGCCATAAACGAAGCAGACCCTGATGACACCTGGAACGGGGGTAACCGTGAGAAAATCGGATCTCCAAGAAATTGAAACTGAGGGTGTTTTGATTAGCGACCACGTCATTGATGGCTACTTAGCTATGCGTTTGAAGCAGCTCGATTTTTACAACGTTAAATACTTGCCAATAACATTTATGGTCCCATCGCTAATTCAAAATGTTCCCCAAATTAACGAAGTTGATGAGTCTGGTGCTGTCATCTACCAAGTCAATCAACAAATGATGAACAATGCAATAAGCCCAGATCTGGAATTCCTTCTTATAACCGTGTTTCGCGGCATGCCTACTTCAGTCAAACTGGACTTAAAAAGCAATGAAGTTCACGTGTTCGACAGTATTCCAATATCTCAAGAGCGTCTTCTATCAGTAGAGAATACAATTCGTGAAATTCTTCTGTCCGTCGAACAAGAAGTTGGAAAAAGACATTGGAAAATGTGCATTATTCAAAATACCCCTGCTCAAACAAATAGTACGGATTGCGGCCTGTACGTCCTATACAACTTTGAAGCAATCCTATGCCGAACACAGGAATTTTACACCCACATTGACCTACGATGACCTTAAGGTTTTTCGAATAAAAATAGTCAGCCACTTCGAATACTATAGGGAGTCATGTGAATGCGAAGAATATTGCAGATCCAACAAAATTCTCCCTCCCTAGCTCAACCAATTGAAGTCCTTGAAGTTTGGCGGACTGTGGATAAGAGGGAAAATACGAAGAAGATTACATTATCCACCAAGTTTGAAAATATCGAAGTCCAACCAGCAATATTAACCTCAAGCCCCCACAGGTCCGGCTCCACATCAAATACGTCCACTGAATCTGAAAAATTAATGAAATCTGGCCCAGATTTTGACCAATCCTTGTCGCCATCCTTTGACGACAGCGGGAAACCGTGTAACATCGCCAAACTCACCTCGTCTTCCAAATCAATGCTAGCTTGTCTACACTAGCGAAATTAACTCCAATATCTGGTACATCTGGAAAATTATTCACGTCTTCATATCCCCTATTTTTCACCGCCGATGATGGCAATGCTCCAATTATTCAGACCCACTTTATCCCAACATTGTGGAGGCATACCTTTACTCAACCCTTCATGATGCAGAAGGATTGAGACTTTATACCCTACTTACATCGCAATTGTTCGCAGGCGAATTACACCATGAATAACGGACGATATGTCACCGATTCTGCAGGAATCCATATTTCAAAATAGAAGTAAATACTTCAGAAATTGCTAATATATAGCACACGTTATTTCGTGTCCCCTTTTATCACTATGAAGAAAATGCACTGATTTAGCGAGATACGGAAACCGCAATTATTCTACATCTTTAACCCCATGGGAATTACTCGAACACGTCGTTCAATCTTACTCGCTAGCACACATGCATTTTTGCTAAATTCATTTTACTTTCACTCCTTATCACAAATGTCCTACCCCGAGGGCCAGTAACAAAATTTGATCGAAATGTGCATAATTAACACCAAAATAATTGCACTTACTGTGAACGAGGAGTCACTACACTCTTAAAAACAATGATGTACTTTAGAAAAGTTAATGCACTCTGAACCCTAAATATATGAAATCCAAAGTAACGTTAACTGGATAAAGAGTAAAGTTTACCCTGGACTTAGCTTAGAATTCTGACTGAATTAACTTCTCAAACGAGTAACATTGTTTTTAAGAGTGTGATAAGTGCACTAAAACTTTAATTACGATTCTAACTGCACGTACTGTTGACGAGAAGTCAATACTTAATACTTAAAAATAATGCTACCATTTTGATAAGTAAAAGCATTCTGACCCCTAAATTAAATAAACTATTCGAAATCCAGAATAACGTTAATTTAATAGGATTAGTCTGGATTTAGTATAATTTACTCATTTTAGAATTCCGAACGCAATTGGTTTTCACAGGGTGACATTATTTTTAAGAGTGGAGTACGTGCATGAAAACTTTAATTCCCCACCCAACTAATTCCCAACCAATCAAAAAAATAAAAAAAGTCCCTAAATCCCTAAGTCCCCACCACCACGAGGAAGCCTACTTCAGGTTATGTTATTGACCTGACCCAAGGCCACAGGTCAGGCCTCAGGTCAGGTCTAACCCCACTCTCAAGGGACGACGACTGCTCTCACCCCCTATCATTGAGTGTATGGTGGCTGGGCGGGCCAGTTCAGGAGGGTTCCGTTGCTCAATTTCAGGCAGTCTCACCAAGCCCTTTCGGTTCATGGGCTGGCGTCATAGACCGCCCGCTCTGAGATTGGCCCCCTCCCTTCCTGGACCACAACCACGGCCTACACCCCAAGGGAACCCCCCACACCCCCCGGGGAAACTACCACCCCTTTTGGTCCTTATCCCCCCCACAACAACCTTTCGAAGCCACACCGGGCTCTTACCGCTACTGGGGGCCACACCGGACACCCCACCAGCTCTCCTGGTCACACCGGACCCCCACCATCTCTCTGGGTCACACCGGACCCCCCAAAACCTCTCAGGGTCACACCGGACCCCCCAAAACCTCTCAGGGTCACACCGGACCCCCCAAAACCTCTCAGGGTCACACCGGACCCCCCAAAACCTCTCAGGGTCACACCGGACCCCTAACCAACACTGGGAGTCACACCGAGCTCCCACTTTTCTTTCCAAGAAAGAAAAAAAAAAGTTTCTTTCAGAAACAAACTCACCAATAATTTGAGAGAAAATAGAAAACACGACTGCATCAGAGGAAGTACAAAATGCGTTTGAGCAAATATTGCACTTTCTTCGGTTATTGTGGATGGTTAATGACAAGAATGGCTTGCAAGTTTGCAAGCATGTAAACATATAGAGAGATAATAGAACATACATAGATAGTAGCATCTCCATGTCCGGAAGGCCGTATGCAAATTCCTAAATTAACCTATGGTTCACCTACATATGTACATATTAAAGCCGCAGCATTTTCTTGCACAATTTTATTTACATGATTTGCGTTTCCTCGCTAATATTCCCGCAATTCGTAACATTCGTCAAGATTTTCAAATTACAAACGTTGTGGAAATTTAAAAACTGAAAATTTAAGCGTTTAAATTTTCAAAATTTAATCTCATTAGCCTGATAATAAAGAAGTTGGTGGAAACACGTTATCGTTATTTAGCTCATAATTCCAAAGTCACATAATCCGGTCAGTTGCAAAACATGATTCCCAGGTTTTCGAAAAAATTGAGGGCGTGGTAGTAGGTGGGGCAAAAATTATACCAAATTTGCATTACTGAGTTTTACCACCAGTGTGTACGTAGAAGGGCAACATATGTACATACCAGTAAGGCCACATAGTTCGACTATTGTTAAAATAAATTATTCAATCCGCACCCACCAGGGGTGTGGTCGTTAGCGCTTCCGGTGTTAGTCAAGTGAAGTACGCACTGTGACACGAATAATTTATCGGACTGGAATGGGGATCACGATGGACTCCACCAGTTACAAAAAGCCACACCCCCCAGTGGGTGTGCCTTCAGGTATTATCCTCGCAAAAATTTCCGACGAAAAAACTTTGCATTCTATATATCGAAGCATAAAATAAATCTTTATTGTAACTTCTGATTACAATAACCACGCCCCCAAGTGGGGTATTATAGGCACATTAGTAGCACATTCATTGGGTACGCAGGCGACACAAATAATTTGGGAATAAAAAGAGGTCCCTTCTTATACCTACGAATTTCAATTAGTGATAACCACACCCCTGGGCACTGGTCTATGGCTCCAAAATGCGGGTATTGTGAACTCAAAAGTTGCGCCCGTTTTCGAGCAATTAAAATCCGAAATTCGGTTTTCTCAGGTTTCCAACTTATGGAAAAGTCGGATTTTCCCCGATTTTTTTCTCGGTTATTTGAGCGGTGCATGAGTAGCCACAATCTCATGTTGCCCCACATAGGCGGGATTAATGGGCGGGGAGGCCAAGTTTTCGGATAAATTCGGCTTAGCCGGCTAACTTCATCCAAACTAAAAAAAAAAAAAGGAGAGGCCAACTTCACACTAATCATCTCTTCAACAAGGTTTGTTTGGTACAAAGAGTTGGAATTGGTCGCCATGATTTTGCACAAATTTGAAATAGGGATTTTTTGACTGGATTTTTCCACCGCATCGTCCTCCACATCGATAAATTGTAAGCAAACGAGGCACACTTGGTTCGTCATTATCACTAAATGTAGAAAAGAAATGTGACAAATTTACAAATTACAATTTGGCTGATTTTTTTTAAAAATATATGCAACTTCTTTAATAATTAATTAATTAAATACATAAATACCGAGTGAATTGATGGCTGAAAAAAAATCAGAAGACAAATCGTGAATTGCTTAACTTTTCCTTAGTTTTAATTTTCACTTACCATTACTTTACAAACTTTTTCAATTTCTGATTTGTAGAGCAGAAGTCTGCACCATTTATTTTTGTCAGCCGGGACCAGTTTTGTACTCAAATTCGTGCCAAGAGAGAAAGCATGTCTCATTTCTTTGTCTCTCCAAGTATGAAAGTATGTACTGTACGTATGTATGTAGCAAAATGTATATGCAGCCTTGCATGAGGAGCTCGACTTTCAGACTAATATGGGAATTCCCGATAGCGCCGTGGAAGTTTCTTTCATATCACAAACCAATGAGATTTTTAATCTCTTTGATTATGACTTTAAGAAATTGAACTCACAATGCGACTGTGTTGGCGGCTACGAGCAGATATTGATGACCACCGAATATGGTACCAGTACCATATTCGGATCGTTGTATGTTTTATAAATATGTGCTTAGGGGCCGTCCATAAATTACGTAACGCAAAAATCTCGATTTTCTAGACCCCCCCTCCCCCCCTTTAACATGTGTAACATAGGCACGATATCATTGGAGCCTTAGACCCCTCTCCCCCCTCTTGCGTTACGTAATTTATGGACAGCCCCTTATTGACTGGTAACAATGTTCTGTTACATACATACGTGTCTATATAAAAGTCGAAGCAACATGTTTGTGCTTTATCGATTAAACTTAAAATATTCCTGCATCTTATAGCATTCCAGACTGGTATTCTGCCTATAAAATAGTGTGTATCTACTGATCCAGACCACGTACATAGGTTTCGTTGCCACCCTAACATATTTGTTTATTTGTTTCTCGAAAATCTTTTTTCTAAATATTTTATGTACATTTCAGCGATACTTGCATAAAAGCATATGCATGTGGATATTTACGTTATTCTGTATATTTTACATACAACGCGTCTGTAAATCCATACACAAGTACATTTGGAAAAGAATAATTACGTAATCGATGCTTGTACGTATGCAAATATGAATTTTATGGTAGATGTGGTCATATAAAAAATTTACTAAAAATTCATACCCTCAGATCATAATTCGACCTACACTGGCATTGCAATCAGATTCAAGCAAATATGAGAAATAATTTATTGCTAAATAATGTATTTAACATTTATAAAAGTTTGTATAGCAAACAAACAACATGTAAATAATTATATCATCAGAAGGCAAATCGACAAATCCTTTGTATACGAATAATTGCTTGTTTAGAAAAAGTTCAGTTTTTCCCATCTCATTTTCATACTGGTTTTGCATTCAGTGTTGATCGAGTGACATTTTCCGGAAAAACTTCCTCTGGCAAACAGCACAAGAATAACATTTATCTGAATGTTGTCGCAGATATTGTTCAATCCTGAGCAAGGGGTTACGAAATACGGCGTGACAAAAGTTGCAGGAGCACTCGGATTTTGCATTCTACAAAAATAACGATTAGGACTTTAATATGACCTCGATTAAATAAACTAAGCAATTAAATCAATTGTTGGAATATTGTTGTTTAAATCTGAAATTCCGATTTTTGATAAAAACTGGAATTTAGCAGGGAATCGAACCCACGCTTCCACCGTTTTAATGACTAGCGCTCTAACCACTGAGCTATAGAAACAATTTAAAATAATTTAATATTCTCACCATTCTTGGAGATAGGCACATCTCCAAGTGGGCCACCCACTCAGCCTTAGAAGCAAACTTGCGTCCAGGACAGCCGTACGGACATGAGGCCTGTTCCGGGAAGTGGACTATTTCAGCGGGAAGGTGCATTTCGGACGGGATGAGGAAAGTTCTTTCGCACATGTCACAATGTTCACGTCCCCTTGATGGCGTTTTACTACGCGGGTGAAATTTGATTATGTGATTCTTCATTTTTGTCCAGCTTGGTAGTACTTCCGAACAATGTGGACATCTATAGTTGCGACGAATCCCTTTATGTTGGAGGCGTAGGTGGCGGCGTAAAGTAACGTCGGACTGGAGATTTCGCTTACACTTTGGGCATGGGTAACGTCCTTCATCCTTCTTAAGTGTCCTGGATAAAGATTATTTCATTGAATGGACAGAACAGGTAAGACTTGTGATTTGGATTGAAGCAAGTTTTTGCACACACAAATAATATTAGTTTGAAATTAATATAAAAATTGAATTCGTGAAGATTTTTTATGCTGATATTAAACTTATAACTAAAAATAAATAAATAAATAAATAAATAATAAATTTATTGTAATAATTATTGTTGTAATAATTTTTTTGATTATTATGTATCACGCAATTTTTTGATTTCATTAATTTGAGTGCCGTTTTTCTGTGATATGTATTTTTTATGTAAAATAAATGCACTCTGCATGCAATGACATGCATGCATGTCATTAAGATTATGAATGGAACAATTACATGGACGTTTTACGCCCCTTATTAAATCATATCGGTTTGCCCCTAAGAAAACAGTGCATGCAGTAAAAATTTGAATTTAAACGCGAGGCCTTTAGATCTAAAACCTGCAATATTGAAATATTAAACACTTACGGCCGTATTCTTAATACAAAATTTCCAACTTGAGTGTGAGTGGCCACTCCCACTCACCATGTTAAAGAATACAAAATGTGAGTGGCCACTCACACTCAGGTTGGAAATTTTGCATTAAGAATACGGCCGTTACCCTTTCCTTTTTGAAGTCCTATTGGCAGATACTAAAACAGATTACATAAAACAGGTGTACGGAGAAAATTAATTATATAATTATGTAGATTAATTATTAATTAACACAATTACTAAACAATTAAGTATTTAACTAGAAAACTAAATTTAATTGTTTACCCCTTGGCTTCATTTTGGCGGAATGCTGGATATTTCTTCTTTTACCATGAAATTTGGAGGTCGTTTTAGTAGACTTTTTGCCAAAAGTGGATTTGCATCAGTTTCCACATCATTCGGTTGGTACTCGAACTCATGTTGATTATTGTATTGGTAATCCTCCCCGTTAAGGTGGACTGGTTCAAATTTTATAGAAACTGGTTCCTCCTCCTCCAATGTATTAAAATCCTTATCAGTATTTGCCAATTCCTCGTCATCCTCTTCTGGAAATTGAATACAAATGTTAATGTTTATACATTAAAAATTTGCCATTAAATTTACACACGTTTCTAATTAAAACCAGGTCAAAACCAGTACCAGAGAAATCGTTCTGTAGTTTATTAAAGAGCGAATTCCTGCTTGAAATTAGGGCATGTAACGAAGCAGCAATATTGAATATTTTCAATTTGGTTCGCCAACTGGGTCATGGAGGAAATTGAGGTGGTACAAGTTTGGCAAGAAAATCGCTGGGTGGCCGCAATGTGAAAAAGTAGTTCCGGCCGAAGAAGAATTTTGCAACAGTATCCATTTCTAGGTCTTTTAGTGGAGTCAAATTCGACCCCTCGGAGGAGCAAATGAAACACAACCTGAGGTTTTCTCGAGGGGAGGAATGATTGCCAAGTGCGAATGATAAGAGATCATTATTGACATCTTCCGGTTTATCATTGTCAGAATGTAAATCTGGTAAAATGTGTTCCACCACTACATTTTCCATTCTGATTTGTCTTCTTCCTGTGACGTTCTTTTTGACCTTTAAACAGAAAATGCAATTATAACCAAGTTTCTAGTATTATCTAAATACTTAAAACTAAATATTTACTTAAATTATCTATAGAAATCGGATTCTATAAATTAATAATGAATAAAGTTATAAAATACCTTTTTAAAAATGTAAATAATTCCATTTCAACTTAATTTAAAGCGGTACGTTATGCACTTAAAAATCTCGTTAATTTGTGGCCTTGGTTTAAACTTTATATGGAGGATAGAACAGGATGACGAAATTGGTATTGAGTTGCCTGAATATCTATTTATTGAATTATTGCAGAGATTGTTGAAATAAGATTTTAAGCAATGTGATCGGCTGATTTGTTATTAGATAGGTTGCGAGTCTACGTTAACGTGAAAAATTTCTCCCGTAAACGTTAAATTTTGCCTCCCGCCAATTTTCGGCGGCGCCGGTTGAACGTTTACGTTCGTTTTATTTACGTTCACGTTATTTTGGACGCTAAATCAACCCATTTAGCGTGCAGTTTACGTACAATATCGTAAAGCTTCTTTTTCATACAAATTAAAGAAAACCAACAATAAGCATGAAGTTTTTTTGTTTATTAGTAAATTTCTTGTTGACAAATGCATTAAATGTATTACTTGTTTTGACAACACTGCAGTTTCAAACTAGTTGATAATCAGTCAAATTAATTAACTGCAACAAGAAAAATATTCCATGACGAATGTAAACAAACCATTGAAATGAGATTCAAATTTAGCGCACAAGTTTACGCTCACGTTAATTCGCAAGCGTGAAATTCGTGCATTCCGTAAACGTAAACGTTAACGCTAAATTGTACGTTTACGTTTGCGTTTACGTGAGACCCGAAAACTCGCAATCTATCTAATCTCGCACATTTCTAGCATACTGGTTTTGCTTCGATTTTCTGTCAGGTTGCCACTCTAGCGGAAGCAAACTCGTTTGCTATAATTCAGTAGCAAATCGCTACCAAACCGGTCATATATAGACACCGCGCGGTAGCGATTTGGGTGAGTATTTTGCTGTGAGTGTACCTTGTGCTGTGAGTGTACGAATGTAAGTGTAAGCATAAATATTATTTAAGATATATATATACCATCTAATAGTGTTTTTTTCGGCTTCTAACGATTTTCGAGTTATATAGGTTAAAATTTGCGTAAAAATGAGTAGATCAAGAATCCGTAATAAAATGGGGGGGGGGGGTGCTCCAGCAGTTTTCGAGATACAAGCCAAAATGTGCGAATTTTTTGCAAATTTTGAGTTTTGTCTCATATTCGTCCAAATTCGGTTAAATATGACTGGAAATAATTTTAAAAATTATTTTGGGCTAGAATTTGCCCACTGCCTCGATTTCGGACCCCACTTTTCGAATTTGCGGAATTTTGCAAAATAATCGCATTTTGCATATTAGTTTTCCACGATCGAATTATGGATTTCTTTATACAATTTGAGGTTATCCGTAGGTTCTCAAGGTTGAATGGAATCGTTGGAAACAATTTGTTACTTATGTCGAATTTTGTAATCAGCAGCGAAGGTTGCTAATTACGCATCGCCTTGAGAAACAATTAATTCATATAATGATGGGTAACTCGAAATTTTATTAAAAATTTGAAATTTTGTTAATAATTCAAAAAGGTTGTTAATTACGCGTCGCCTTGAAAATTAAAAATTAGTTAGAATTTTCCTGACATACGCTCATCAGATATAGATATTTATAAGTTTGATTAAAAAACACTATTAGATGGTATATATCTACCTTAAAAATTTGAAATATTGTTGAGAATTCAAAATTTTGTTAATAATTCAAAAAGGTTGTTAATTACGCATCGCCTTGTTTATTAAACGATGACATACTGTTGGAATACTTCGGGTCAGTATTTGGTTTCTTATAATTGGTAATTTATACATGCATGCATCAAATTCCAATGAATTAGCACCGTCACACGTTTCCACATTGTTCAATAAAACTCTATTTATGTAGCAATAATTTTTGTACAACCCAACTTTTAAGCCATATTTGCGTAAGTTTATAAAATGGATGTAACTAAACTATTTGTTTTTATCATACTGGTGAAATTCAATGCTACAGGAAAACCACAATCTACACACTACACAATCAATAGCAATAGAGAGGTAGAGATTTTTTGGATTTTTCCTTATACTTTACTGTGGCTACAGTACAGTACAAAAATTAGTACAAAATTTCAAAGAGGTAGAGAATTTCAATTATTTTGTACTATAAAAAATTTGATTGTAAAATTCCGCGAAGAGAAATTGAGACAATTCAACTCATGATGAACCAAATAAATTTAATCCAGGCGTCAGGGGAAGGAGAGAATTTTACCCACCACCACTTGATTTCCAGAGTAAAATACAAACTGAGCCCGTGTTTCAATTCGTCTCCTGTAGACTGTAGAATCAGTACAAAAAGCTGATGACGTCATCATCTTGAGTCCACAGTACAGTCTACAGTCGAAGTACAAGTTATCTCTACCTCTCTAATAGCAATAACTGTACCCACAAACCGTTCTTTCTGTTACGTCCTGTTGATTTCATATGCCCTCTTATTTTCAATTAGTTTCCCCTTGGAATATTTACGGAATATAAACTTCAAACTTGTCCTGCCTAAACCTTCCCTCTTTTCGAAATGCAGTTAATTTTTCCCTTAAAATTCATCTGCCTCACACTAACTGTGACACTGGGTCACAACAATTTTACTGTCATCACAACCTCCGAGTTTAAATCTTGTCACGACTGTCCTTGGGTTCGCAGATTTAATAGTGAGCAACTAACCAGCAATAACAAACCTCTACTGCAATTTTCTTGCCGGGCGAATTATTCCATTGATTGGGAATTTCATTATGATGAGGTAACCCCCGTAATATTTGTTTACTGTCACTTTAATCAGTAATAAGTATTACTCGACAGTGACTAAATTAATGTTACTGCACCCCCACGGTAATCATCAGAGTCCGGTTATGTATGTATTTTAAACTTTTTTAATAACAGCCCGATTGAATTGAAACTTTGGGATCTTGTTTGTGGTCGGGCATAGGTCACACGGTCAAAAAAATGTTTTCACATATTTCGAGGTTTTCATACATATAAATATGTTGTAACATATTTCGGCGATTTTGCCAAAAATGTGCATTTTTTGATACACATAAATATGTTTTTACATATTTCGGCGATTTTATCGAAAATATATATTTTTTGGCACACATAAATATGTTTTTACATATTTCAGCAATTTTCCAAAAATATATATTCTTTTAGAAAAACCTCAGAAATTCACAATGCATAAATAATTCCGACCATCGTTTGAATAGGACACCAGGTCGTGTGGAAATGCTACACTTTCAAATGTAAAAGCCTTTTTTGGCATTTTTACCGTCAAATAAGTTTAATTTAAAGCAGTTTAACGAGAATCAAAAAAATGTTTTTTGTACATATTTTGGCGATTTGATTAAACATTTTACGTACATATTTAGGGGTTTTTAAGAACATATTTATCCGCACTCTGGTAATCATGTTCTACATACACGTGTTACCGAGATTGAATTTCTTGCTAACCTGCTTCATACATAATAACTGCAACGGATGGCTAAAACATATATGCTACCAAAGAGAATAAACTTTTCACCATTCCGTACTCTATTTACTCGATGATGAGAGTAAATGCAAAAAAAAATACTGTGTAAATTTATTTGCCTTGCAGAACGACCAGGTCGAAGTTCAATTGAGGACAATGGATTATAAAAGGGAAGTTCAATCCTTCACAAATATTTCTAGTTACTCCTATAGAACAAATGTCATTATCCAGTATCCCTATCGACTCCAATTTTTTCCAAACTTTACCTGTTTCTCCACTCAAAATCATACCAAGCTCACTCGACTTGTGGTCCATGGCACTAACGAGTATTTTGAAATTACTGCCGCCTCAACGTCAAATGGTGATACGTATGCGTACAACTTTTGCAAAACTATTCAAACTTGTGAGTACTAAACGGGTATTCTTATTTTTTTTAGATTACTACAAATCACATTTTCCTCAAGATTCCTGTCCAGCGTATACATATTTTGCGGTTTCGGCTGCAATTCCGCACGAGGATAATATGGGGCCGTGCTATAGCTGTTTTTTGTATGCAAATGCAACCAGACAGGATTTGAATTACCAACTCATTCCTCTTAAACATAATTGTGAAAAGTATGCATTGTGTCAGAGTTTATGGCCTTACGAACTACAAGTGGGTGTCGTTGTTTTTTTATTTTTCTTAAAGCAATAGAATATAATTTTTGATCCTTATTTCTAGATAGGCTGCATGTCCATCTTTGATGGTGGTTTTGAACCACCGTGCGGAACCGGTGTTCAAGAAATTTTCTGCTTTGTGAGTATAAACTGTGTACTAGAAATATAAGTAAGTACTGGAGTTTTTTTAATTTCTCAGACGTCGGACAACAAAAAATGTGTTGCGTCCAATGATATGAAGCCATTTGTCATTTCATGTCAAAATACTATTCAAAGCGGAGTAGTACAGGCGACATTTGGGTTTTATGGGATTCGAAGTATGGAGCAGTATCTCTGGGATAATTCAACACGTCCCCGAATTTGTATATGTTACTTACCTTGTAATTTTATTAATTCCGTCACCATTATTAAAATTGACTAAAGAACTGCCAGATTTCAGCTTAGACCCTGCCGACCAGGAAATGGTTGACGATATGGTTGAACTGGTCCAACAAAATTATACAAGCGAAACCTTTGTTGGGCAACCTGTGGAATTTCGGTGCAGGGTGACCTCGATCTATTGCGGTTATCCGTTGTGGATAAGTATTACTTATGAAGAAGGAGAAACACTTTATTCGGAACTGCTGTATAATTCCAACAACAACCCCAAACTTGGGACAATTCATAACATCAGTGTGTAATTTCACACAATTAGATTATCCGTATCCGCTTACTGATCTAATGTCCAATTGATCCCACAGCTTCCCCGCACTATCCAGGAAATATTGGATGGTATTACGAAACCCTATACGAATTTGTGGTTCTAAAATCTGGCCAGTTCACAACCAGCTGTCATTGCCCCATATTTAATTCATCAGGATGGATTAACGCCACAGAAACTGTGATTGCTCAGGATGGTGAGAAAGTATGTGGTGCAAGTTAGCCGTGGCCGAGATGCAATTTAGCCGTGGCCGTAGCCGATGCAAGTTAGCCGTGGCCGTGGCCGAGATGCAAGTTGGCCGTGGCCGTGGCCGAGCCTAAAATTTCACCTTACCCCAAAAATTTCATTTTACCCCAAAAATTTCACTTTACCCCAAAAATTTCACTTTACCCCAAAAATTTCACTTTACCCCAAAAATTTCATTTTACCCCAAAAATTTCATTTACCCCAAAAATTTCATTTCAAGCACGTTTTTGCAAGGCGGGAGGGGTTTCATGCTTTGGGTTTGATTTTGCCCTTCTGGACCCCGGCTTTTTTTGAGACTCTTGGAGTATTTTGAGATTTTGTAGGTGAGATGAGATTATGCCCCATAGTGGGGTATTGTTCGTATTTAAGCGAGCGAAGCGAGCAGGTTAGGTTAAAGTTGGCGAAAAGCGTGACATGCCTACCAAATATAACCTAGCTATGCTGCCTTGAACTGCTTCCTAGATATTCCCAGATATTCTGGTAGAATATCGAATTTCAAGCACGTTTTTGCAAGGCGGGAGGGTTTTTAGGCTCTTTTTGAGGCTATTGGCGTATTTTGAGATTTTGAGCCACGTAGCACTGCTAGGTAGCATTGCTGGGTAGCACTGCTAGGTAGCATTGCTAGGTAGCATTGCTAGGTAGCATTGCTAGGTAGCATTGCTAGGTAGCATTGCTAGGTAGCATTGCTAGGTAGCATTGCTAGGTAGCATTGCTAGGTAGCATTGCTAGGTAGCATTGCTAGGTAGCATTGCTATGTAGCACTGCTAGGAAGCATTTGTAGGAAACATTTCTGGGATGCATGTCTGGGAAGCATTTCTAGGATGCATGTCTAGGAAGCAGTTCAAGGTAGCATAGCTAGGTTAAATTTGGTTGGCATGTCACGCTTTCCGCCAACTTTAACCTAACCTACTCGCTTCGCTCGCTTAAATACGAACAATACCCCACTATGGGGCATAATCTCATCTCACCTACAAAATCTCAAAATACCCCAAAAGTCTCAAAAACAGCCGGGCTCCAGAAGGGCAAAATCAAACCAAAAAGCATGAAACCCCTCCCGCCTTACAAAAACGTGCTTGAAATTCTTTATTTTATCAGAATATCTAGAAATCTCATTTTGCCCCAAAAATATCAAAATACCCCAAAAAATTTCCCGCCTCGGGGGAAAGTGAGACAAAGTCTTAGAATTCTCTGAAACGTCCAAAAATGCAATAAAAATTTCAAACTTTGACCCGCCATAACTTTTGAACGGAGCGTTTCCGCGCATTCGGACTTCGATATTCTTGTTCCGCTCGTTGAACTGAACAAAATGACGTATCACTCGCCCACATAACGATCCCCTGCTATTCTAAAGTATACCCTGAAAGGAAAAATTTCGGGTAAAGTGAAATTTTTGGGGTAAAGTGAAAATTTTGGGGTAAAGTGAAATTTTTGGGGTAAAATGAAATTTTTGGGGTAAAGTGAAATTTTTGGGGTAAAATGAAATTTTTGGGGTAAACTGAAGTTTTTGGGGTAAACTGAAATTTTTGGGGTAAACTGAAATTTTTGGGGTAAAATGAAATTTTTGGGGTAAACTGAAATTTTTGGGGTAAACTGAAATTTTTGGGGTAAACTGAAATTTTTGGGGTAAACTGAAATTTTCGGCTCGGCCACGGCCACGGCCAACTTGCACCTCGGCCACGGCCACGGCTAACTTGCATCTCGGCCACGGCCACGGCTAACTTGCATCGGCCACGGCCACGGCTAAATTGCATCTCGGCCACGGCTAACTTGCACCACATTGAGAAAGTTACGTCAGTTACAAATACTGAATAACATATGGAACGATTTTCTGAATTCATAGTTGAAAGCCTAGAAATCCTATCTTTGTCGCAAGATAGCTCCAAACCCTTTAGAGTAGGAGATCGAAACGGATCCCTAGAATGCAGGTTCAAAGGCCGTCCAATATCCAATATACGCTGGGAAATTGATGGGAAACCATTGCCGAAAGGAATATACATCGAAATATTTTTTAAATCTGAAAATAAGAGCGTTTTACGTATGCCAGAAGTGTATAATACTATGGCAAGCCGTTACACGTGTAAGGTGGAGTCCATATTTGAGGAAGCAGAAGCCCAATTTAGTTTGCAAGTCCGAGGTAATTTCCCATACATACAGTAGTTGCTTTTTCGAGTAGTTGCTTTTTCGTGGTATTAAATGGCTGGGTTACCCGCTTGTAGAGAACATTGCATCTACGTGGCTTACTGTGGGAGTTAGTGTACTAATAGGACTAACCGTAATTTCTGGTTTGGTAACTTTACACTTGTGGAGGATTAACAAGTATAAGGAAGCTTTGATAAGAAATTTGACAGAGTCTGAGATAAAAGAGTTTAAAGATGGGAATCCTAACTGCCTGGGGGAAAATGGGAATTCCGAATTTGCAAACGCCGGGATTCAAATGCAGCCGTACGAAGAAAGATTTGAAATATCCATGGATGACATTGAACTCGGTTTGTGCATGCATTTTCTCAAACAATCAATTCTTTATGTATATGTTTAGAGTAAGGATTAATACACTAAATGTATGAGTTAATTTTTAATTTGTGTACTCCTCCCAGATTACACCACTATCCTGGGTGCCGGAGCGTTTGGAATGGTTGTGAAAGGAATGTGGATAAACGGATGTCACGATTATCAAAATATTTGCAACTATTCTAATTCAAACCCTGCCGTGGCAGTTAAAATGGTGAAACCGGATGTAGAAGTACAATATTTTAAAGCCCTTTTGTCAGAAATAAAAATAATGGCTTATCTTGGAGATCATAAGCATCTCGTAAAATTTTATGGCGCAAGCACAGAAAATATTCAAAATCGTAAGATTTCCTGATATTGCGTATCCTTAATTTTTAAATTTATTTATTCATTTTGTTTATAGGAAAAGTTTACATTATTGTGGAATTATGCTCCATGGGTAGTTTGGAATCATATTTGAGAAATGTCGAAAATCGACAAAACTTTACTAATCTTGTAAAATATGGAAAACTCGTAAAGGAGAAGATAGAGTTAACTCCATTTTCCACACGCACATTATTTATGTGGAGTTCTGAAATTGCTCGAGGATTGGAGTATGTCCATGCGAAGAACGTTGTCCATGGCGATTTGGCGATAAGGAACGTTCTCTTGACCCAAACCTTGACTGCCAAAATATCCGACTTTGGACTTTCCAGACAGTTGGCGAATTCTTCGAACTACGTCAAAAAGTCACACGTAAAATTTCTGTTTTTTTTAACTAAAGATAAGCTCGGACTTTATATTCTTATTTAGGTACCTCTCCCTTGGCGCCACATGTCACCAGAGGCACTACAGGATAGAAACTTTTCAACAAGTTCAGACATTTGGGCGCTTGGGGTTACTTTGTGGGAAATATTCGAGCTAGGCCATATACCTTATCCCGGTGAGACTTGGGGACACCCTTTCCTATGCAGGATTATATCTGGAGAGAGATTGATAAAGCCAAAATATGCTACAAATGAACTGTAAGAAGCAAGTGGAAATGACTATTTAAAATAAATCCAAATCGAAAAAAATAAGGTCGAAATTCCGTTTCAGGTACGAATTCATGTTGTACTGTTGGGAATTACAGCCAGAACAGAGACCACGGGCTGATTCTCTCACGATACTTATGAACGAATTTGACACAGTCAAGGACAATTAATAGTATTTTATCCGTTTCGTCATGTATCCGACCTATAAAAGTCTAACCTGTACGGTGGACATTATATATTTCAAAATTCACACTTTGCTTCATAGGTCCATATTCGTAAGAGGCGGTCAGCAAATCGACTGCTCACTTAAAATTAAGCTTACCAATGACTAGGTCTGTATAAATAAAGTGTTTAATAAACAGCGTTTATTGAACCATTGATACATATTGTACATATATAGTGATTCCATATATACGCTGACAATACGTGTTAAAAAATGTTACTCTACCATCTAATAAGTATTAAATCCAAAAGCGGTTGAATTTTAACCTGTCGTGTTGATTTCTTAATTATACAATATTTCCAGCATTTTAAACTTTCTGACTGGTTGTTTCCTGTGTATTTCTAAAGTCACTAATTTGGAACAAACCAGTTGGTCTCATATTGTATTCCAAACGTGAGCCTAAGATATCAAATGCGTATGTACGTAGTTGAAACTAATGTACTCTCTTACTAATTCTAAGAGACACCTAGGAAGAAATGCAATAAAACAAATCTGATATGACCATAATATGACGTATAGGCGAATATGATAATTGTGTCATGCATAGCTGACATATACACTAATTTATTTTATTTATTACTTATCCGATATTTGCTACATATGTACTTAGAACGGAACATAATTAATTATAGGGTTCCATCAAAGTTTAAACTTTCCATACAAAATATTCTCATAAATTTCATTCTGCATTGGAACATATTTTCTATGTTGTAAAACATAGAGTGAATTAAATTTAATTAATTAAATTTATTTATTATTATTTTTATTTATTATTATTTAATTAAATTTATTTTATTTAATTCATTAAATTTAAATTAAATCCTGCCCTCCGTAATTCAAGTTTTTAGCAGTTTAAATTTGAATTATTTACCGATTATTTCAGGCGTTTTAAACTTTAAAACTGCCTGAAATAATTAATAAATTCAATTAGTATAAATAATTGTGAGGATCCCATATTAGGTTTAACTACCTATCGTTTCTCATCATACGGACGAACACTGGTCTCGCGTATTGTGGATAGCGGGCCAATTCCTCGTGAAGATCCGCAATATTTAGTTCCTCATTATCGAAATCATCCCACATTTCCCATCCATCCAGGAATATTTACCCCAAACGCGGCCACACCTTTATTTTCTCCCATAGTTTTTCCAACTCCTTGAGATGTTTTCTCCTAACAAGAAAATAAAAATTTGTATTGACAAATATCACCAGGTACATATTTACATACATATTTAAGGTTGATATAAGATTTTCTCATTAATAGGTTCAAACCCTATGCAATTGTCTAAAAAAATTTAATTTTCACTAACAAAATTATCCCTACCTATTTGAATCTCTTGAACCTATCAAGAACTTTTTCGTATAATCTTTAATAATTTTTACTAAAAAAATAACTTGCCACTATTCGAGGGAACACATCAAAATTGTCCACCACTCATTTGAAGCCTCAGTCCCAAGATTTTAAGTTAGTTTTCAAGTCTACATATGTCTAACCAAACCAGTTCAGCCATTTCATAAATTAACGAGGCAATTTAGTAATACTAGATCTCAATCATACATATATTTATGTTTCAAGTCTATCCGACCTTTTACACACCCATATATCTAAACGATGCGCCTGTCCTATCGTTCAAGTAGACATATCCATATTTATCCATCGTAAAAGTGTCACCCGTTCATAACTATTTGTCCCCAAGTTTTTTCACACCCTTCACCATATTCGTCTTAGTTTGTGTACCATCCGTACATCCGCAGTAGTCCCGAATTGGAATAGATTTCATAATTTTACCCAACAGCTCACCAGCTTCTCCTTTCGAGGCGTGTTGAACTAGTCCTGTCGCCGGATCACGGACCAATTCTCTATCGGTGGATACACGAGCAAAGAAAAATAGCAGGAAAGGATAAAGGTAGATTGGTAAGTGACCCGCAGCTCCGACCTGACCTTCCGCATTCACTACACTCTTAGCAAAACGGTATTGAAAAAAATTAGCGGTATTGATATGTGACTCTACCGCTTTGGTATTAAACGGTTGTACCACCCTGGTATAGATTCGGTAATGAAATAATACTAAGTGGTAATCATTTTATTACTACGTAGTATTAAATTTTGTACCATATGGTATTAATTTTTTAAATTTATTACCAAATCAATACCAAGGCGGTAGAGTCACATATCAATACCGCCTTTACTGGTTTTCTTAAGAGTGTACGGTACACTGTTAAAAATCTGGTAGAGTCACATAGATACTCCGTGTTGGTATTGATTTGGTAACAACTTCCTACCGGATTGGTAGTAACTTGTTCCTGAGTGGTAAAGTTTTCATTACCGCAACATTACTGAACGGTAATTCCCGTTATTACCGATGCCGGTAGAGTCACATATGTACTCCGGCCGGTAATGATTTAATACCAGTTTTCTAAGAGTGTATACATTCACAATTTGCACCTTATATGTAACGTGTACGGCTCATTTAATTAAAAAAGTTAGAGGTTACCTGCATAAAATTAAACACTTATAAATCTAAATTGAAGTACTACCGAGTGGTATAGATATACCTATGACTATCTGAGTTGGTGTTGAACCGTTATACAATGCTGGTATAAATTCGGTATTAAAAGAAGACTCTACAATAATAATTTTACTACTACCGGGTATTGAATTATAAAGCCATGTAGCATTGATCTAATAAAATATCAATACCACGCGGTAGAGTCATAAACCTATACCGTGGATTATTGACTTTGTTTAGAGTGAGCGTTGTTAAAAAAATTACTAAAATTATGGTGTTCACAAAATTTTCACAAAATCATTAAACTTAATAATTTAAAATTGTTACTAAAAAATAAATCTTTTGGTCACCATAGTGGTCACCAATTATAGTCATATTTAGCATTCCCAAAGTCCACTTACTCGTTCCAAAATTACCCTGAGTAGATCCGTATAATTCTTTAATCTTGATTTTATCAAATCTCTCCACAAAAGGTTTCCATACAACTGAATTCGGTCCATTAGCATAAAATGTGTGCACCTTCTGTAACTTATCTTCCCTGGTTTCAGGCTGATTCAACAGATATCTACGCGTACAATTCAAAAATTCAAATCAATATGGAAAATATTTTCTTGTATGTTTTTTTACCGTACGGTTTCGCTTAAATATTGACAACACGTCACTAAGGTTGGAATATTTTCCAAAACATCACCGGAATCTAGACATTCTGTTATTGCTGTAAATCAATTATCATAAAAACTTATACAATAATCAATTACAAAATTGCTCCTAAAATTAATTGTTCCTTAAAATAATAGAACAATAATTGTAACCTATGTATCTTGTTAAAATAAAGTCAAGGCGTATAATAAATATTATTTTTCACAGGCTTTACAATACCTGAAGTTAATTCTTCTCCAAAAATTAGGCCCTTGCAATTTGAAACTAGCTTCATTGTTCGCATTTCTTTTTAGGTTTCCATCCAAATATAACTGGGCAAACTGAAACACTCGATCGAGTAGGGAGAAAATACCGTCGAGTATGAGTAATATCAAAGTTGCCGAGTTGGCCGAGTACAATCGAGTACTCGTTATATCCCTTGTAATGTCGAAATTATTTGGTCTGATGAAAAAAATATGTATCTCAAATACTTATATAAATGTGTTAAATTTTCACAATTATCTTTGCAAGTTTTTTCTCAAAAAAATATATTTATTAAATCGTAAGACAAGTATCGTATTAAGCCCTCTTCACACCAAGATTTGGATGCAACACGAAACTAGTGGCATCGATGTCCGTGGCAGAAAATTTGGGAATTGTTCACACGGCTGAATTTTCTGACACCGATAAATGTGCAATTTCTATGAGACTAAATACTGCTCAGCACAGCGCGGAGGGCAAGCTGAGACGGGACAAGCCAATCAGCACACCTGGTTTTTAGCCCGAGCCAGGGCTTATGTACCCGTTATGTCTGTCTGTCCGTCCGTCCGTCCGTCTGTCTTCGCGATAACTCTTTTTAAACTCAACCGATCGACTTGAAATTTTTACCACATCTATATCTACCCAAAAGATAAATCAAGTTCGAAGATGAGCAAAATCGGCCCAGTGGTTGACCGGAGGGGGTCATAGGAGTGGGTGGGGTATTTTGCACCTAAATTTCAAAATTGTCGTAGAAAGCTGAAATTTGGTACATAGATAACTAATGGTTTATAATGAAAAGATATGAAGTGAATTTGCGAAAATTTTTATCTGGAGGGACCCTATGGGGTCACCCAAACTGATTTTTCAAAATCGTTCAATTAAGCCGAAATTTGGTATGGAAGTCGATAACAGCTTATAATGAGAGTTTATGATATACAATTTTGAAAATTTTGACCCAGAGGTACCCTATGGGGTGACCCCCACCGATTTTTGAAAATCGTCATATCGAGCTGAAATTTGGTACAGAGGGTGTAAATGGGTCCTAATAGAAGATTATGAGTTAAAATTAGAAAATTTTCATCCGGAGGGACCCTATGAGGTGACCGCCACCGATTTTCAAAAATTAATATGAAAAACCGAAATTTCAAACAGATCCCCAGTGCTTTCTTATAAAATATTTTGAAGTTAATTAATGCAAGAATTAGTGAAAAACTGTAGCATTGCAGATAATTTTATGGAAAATAGTGACAAACATGGTTTTACAAATCAATCCTGGCTCGGGCTGAGCAAAGCTGTACTGATAGGTTTTTCTGCTGCAGCTCTGTCAATTCATTTTTCTAATTGGAAAAACTGCTGCACCGACATCGTGGAAAAGATGAAAAAATCTCAGGGCACGCTGGTTTATACTTCACACTACTGATTTGCCTGCATGCCACTGATGTCGGTGCCATCCAAATCTTGGTCTAAAGAGGGCTTTAGGCGAACGGATTTCTTGGTTGATCAACAGGAGGCGTCAACCAATTTTATTAGAATTGTCAGGTTTATTTGCGCCATGAATTTATACATATTCATCACATGAATTACGCTAAAGAACCCTGATTTCTCTCGACTGAGAATGCATATGTACATAAATAATCTTTTTTCATTTATCTCCTTGCGTCCTATTTATAAATTTCCATAATGATTCCTACAATATTAATTTATTCTTCAATGCTTGAATATTTATTACAACAGTGCCGCTTTAAATTTTATAATTGTAATTCCAATAAGCAAATATGTATGCAAATAAATCTACATTGGCATGTCTTAAAATTTGTACTAAAATTATGAGTAAGGTTTTTCTTTTCGAGCTAAA